TTTTAGTTTATGGAGTTGGTTGAATGTTACACTGAAGATGAAAACATTTCTTTGACTCTGATATGGGCAGTGATTCGCGTAATGAGAGGAAGGATACGGAAGTCTACTTAGGTTTTCTGTTGAACGGACTCAATTGGAAAATGTTTGAGTTTATGGAGTTGGTTGAATGTTACACTGAAGATGAAAACATTTCTTTGACTCTGATATGGGCAGTGATTCGCGTAATGAGAGGAAGGATACGGAAGTCTACTTAGGTTTTCTGTTGAACGGACTCAATTGGAAAATGTTTGAGTTTATGGAGTTGGTTGAATGTTACACTGAAAATAAAAAACCTCTCATTGACTCTGCCATTGGTAGTGACTCAAGTGATGAGAGGAAGGTAATGGGACCCAAAAAAGAAAGGATACAAAGGCTACTTAGGTTTTCTGTTGAACGGACTCAATTGGAAAATGTTTGACTTCATGGATTTCGTTGCCTGTTGCACTGAAAATAATGAACCTCTCATTGACTCTGCCATTGGCAGTGACTCAAGTGATGAGAGGGAGGTAATAGGATCCAAAAAGAAAGGATACGGAGGTCTACTTAGGTTTTTTGTTGAACGGACTCAATTGGAAAAGGTTTGACTTCATGGATTTCGTTGAATGTTGCACTGAAAATAAAAAACCTCTTGTTGACTCTGCCATGGGCTGTGACTCAAGTCTTTTTAGGTTTTCTGTAGAACGGATTCAATGGGAAAATGTTTGAGTTTATGGAGTTGGTTGAATGTTACACCGAAGATGAAAAACCTTAATGAGAAAAAATGTTTGAGTTTATGGAGTTTGTTGAACGTTATACTGAAGATGAAAAACCTCTTGTTGACACTGCTATGGGCAGTGATTCAAGTGATGGAAGAAAGATAACGGAATCCAAAAGAAAGGATGTCTGACAGGAAGGGTCAATTTTACCAGTACACAGTGGTTGCCTCTTTTGGGAGGCAATCAAAGTGGAGCATTCATCGTGCTGGATGCATTGAGAATATCCAGCCTTTTCTCACGCTGTTACTCAACATTGAGAAAGTACGAACTGTCGGGAAAGCGCCCAAGGTACTTGCCTTCAAGAACAGTTCAGAGGGGCTGACTTCATCGAAAACTAACGAGCAGGTCCAATCATGGGAGCAAATGATGCTCTGCAAACTTCCCGTTATCCTCATATTGCATTTGCAGTTTTTCTTATGCAGCCATGACAGTTGCACAAACAATATCAAGACTACGTAGCCCATGCCTTCAACTGTTGGCTGACTTACGAGGATTGTTCGGTCAAGACCGTGCAGGAAGAACACTTGCTGAGGCCACAGGCTTCAAGAGTTCCTCATTTGCTGTTCTACAGGCGAAGTCATACGATCCGATCTAAAAAACGCCTCCCTGAGAGGATAGGGTTGCTTCTGTTACGTGGGACTCAGCACCTGGTACCGTGATGAATATTTATCGGTTTTGGTGGAGTTTTTTCATTCCTTCATTTTGTTGTGATATAACTTATATTCAATATTCGGAGTTGTGGTAGATAAACTTGCATTTTCACGCCCTGAAAGGGAGAAAATAAGCTTTGTGATTGTTTCAAACCCTATTGAAAACAATTTACCTGGCCAGAACGAAAATGCTGTTTCTTGATGAGCGTTTCGATAACCAAGTCAGCACTCCTGTTGATAAGAAATCGTTACTGCCTGCAAAGATAAAGGGCAAAGTTCTTCCTTTCATTAGAAGCAGTTTGTCTTAATCTACGTTTGCTGCGGGGGATGTTTTATGTCCAACAATCTCGTAGAATTCGTTAAACCAATTCTCTACGAAGTGCAATGTTCATTTATTTAGCAACTAGTTTCAGAAGAGAATGAGATGGACTCAGCGTATGTACCGCAGCGTAGATAAAATTCTTTACGGCGCTTTAAAACTCAACTTGATGTTCAAATGGACATAAATTTGAGTTGGTTATGAAAAGAGCACACTGGGGAATATGAAACTTAATTAAAACATTGACAGAACTCATCCACACTTATGGAATTTTACATTCATTTCACAGATATATTCACCTAACGACACACTCATCATTTGACGTTCAACACTGAAATGAACAACGAATCAAAACTGGCATATTATTACGCTTCCACGTTTTTTATGAACTGGTATACCAGAACAGATCAACAATCCAAATGCACAACTCAAAAAGACCACTCTACAATAATTCACTGGTTCACTTCGCTTGCTATCGCTGACGTTAAACTAAAATGACCGTCAACAATGGCGGGATCTCTAATAGTATTTGTTACGTTCGTGATCTCTTTCAGTTCGGCTCATAATCGCCTTCACTACGTCAAAGAAAATTGATAGCAGAAACGCTTATCACTAGTGTCAAATTTGAACTTAACCCCCACTTCAAAAATGTTCTTTCATCAACTTCGCACTTGACTCTGACTCGAAAAATTTGAAAGATACTTACTTTCGTGATGTGTTTGATGTGTATGATGTATACGATTCTTTCTGCAAATTTTTTGTCAAGGATCTATGAATGGAAAATTTTGTTTTTGTGAATTCATTGACATTGACAGTGGTTCACGTTGACTCAAATGTACTGTGAATTTCACTAGTTTGGACTTCCATTGTCTACTATATAAAATGATTTGAAATCCCTGAAACAACTAAAAAAGAAGAATTGAAAATGAATAGCTGAAAATAACAATTATATTAACCAAAATAAACCTGAAATGAAATAATAGTGAAATAAAATACAAGTAAAAGTAGAACAATTGAATAAATGAAAATGAAGAAATGAAAAAAGAAAATAAAAATAAAAAGTGGAGAGATTCCAAGTCACGTTAGTTCACGACGTTTCGATTGTTAGTATCTACAATCGTCTTCGGGTGATGACTGGACTGATTCCTCCGAGAGATGACTATTTATAGGTCGTTCGAGTACTTTCAATTATCCCCGCTTTCCATTTTTCGCTTCACTGGTTCCGTGGGAGATGACCGTTTTGGCGGGAGTTGGCCATTTTTCGCTTGATGATGGGTTTCCATATGTTGCGTATTTATACGCTGGCTTGGCTGAATACGTTGTTGGCTTGTATGCGGCTTCCTTGAATTTGCTCCTTAACCAATGTTTCTCTCTGTGCAAGATCTCAGCTTGGGACCACTCGATGTTGTGTTGATGGGTCCAAACATGGTCTGCTATTCCTGATTTGCAGGTTTCCCCTCGCTGTGTGTGTTTCTTGTGCTCGGCAATGCGAACATTCAATGGCCTCTTAGTTTCACCAATATAGGATTCTCCACACTCACAGGGTATCCGGTAAATGCAATTCTTGGAATCGCAGTCCGCGTTTGGTGGCCTGGTTTTCATGAGGCTGCTACGGATAGTGTTACCGGATCTGAAGCAGGTTCTGATGTTGTACTTGGAACCAATTCTTCTTATCCTCTCCGATAATCCTCTGATGTAGGGAAGTGCAAGCACTGGTTGTGACGGCTTCTCTTCCTTGCGAGGCTCCTGCTGTCTTCTAGCCAAAGTCTTTTCTACCATCGCTTTGGAGTAGCCATTCTAATGGCTAATAGGGTCTAATAGAGTCTTGATGATTTATCGTTTAGTCGATTGATGGTGGTTGGATTCGTGGTTCAGATACTGTTCCGTATGAGTGGGTTTTCGGTATACAGACACTTAGTGTCGGTCCTCTTCACCAAAACGTCTAAGAATGGCAATTCGTTGTGGATTTCCTTCTCCATTGTGAAATTGATGAAGAAGGAAATGGTGAAGGAAATCCACAACGAATTGCCATTCTTAGACGTTTTGGTGAAGAGGACCGACACTAAGTGGGAAACATCTGTATACCGAAAACCCACTCATACGGAACAGTATCTGAACCACGAATCCAACCACCATCAATCGACTAAACGATAAATCATCAAGACTCTATTAGACCCTATTAGCCATTAGAATGGCTACTCCAAAGCGATGGTAGAAAAGACTTTGGCTAGAAGACAGCAGGAGCCTCGCAAGGAAGAGGATCCGTCACAACCAGTGCTTGCACTTCCCTACATCAGAGGATTATCGGAGAGGATAAGAAGAATTGGTTCCAAGTACAACATCAGAACCTACTTCAGCCTCACGAAAACCAGGCCACCAAACGCGGACTGCGATTCCAAGAATTGCATTTACCGGATACCCTGTGAGTGCAGAAAATCCTATATTGGTGAAACTAAGAGGCCATTGAATGTTCGCATTTCCGAGCACAAGAAGCACACACAGCGAGGAGAAACCAGCAAATCAGGAATAGCAGACCATGTTTGGACCCATCAACACAACATCGAGTGGTCCCAAGCTGAGATCTTGCACAGAGAACAACATTGGTTTAGGAGAAAATTCAAGGAAGCCGCATGTATGTTGTCCAACAACGTATTCAGCCAAGCCAGCGTAGAAATACGCAACATATGGAAACACATCATCAAGCGAAAAATGACCAACTCCCGCCAAAACGGTCATCTCCCACGGAACCAGTGAAGCGGAAAATGGAAAGCGGGGATAAGTGAAAGTACTCGAACGACCTATAAATAGTCATCTCTCGGAGGAATCAGTCCACTCATCACCCGAAGACGATTGTAGATACTAACAATCGAAACGTCGTGAACTAACGTGACTTGGAATCTCTCCACTATTATTTCATTTCAGGTTTATTTTGGTTAATATAATTCTTATTTTCAGCTATTCATTTTCAATTCTTTTTTTTAGTTGTTTCAGGGATTTCAAATCATTTTATATAGTAGACAATGAAAGTCCGAACTAGTGAAATTCATCATGAAACATTGTCAATCACCTTCAAACAAATGTACTGTATATTTCTGATAACCTGCAAATGTACTATATTTAAATAATTGATATCTATAAAACTACCAGTTTTAAGTGTTCAGTAATATTTTTACAATGGTGACAATAACTTTTTCGTGACATCAATGTTCTATGGTTCAATTTTTTCATTTGTTGTAGAACAGGTAAACTTCACTATCCAACAAACGTCTGTGGTCCGTTATTCGAAGAGGAATTGGAGTTCTGGGGATTGGATTCGAACCAGGTAGAGCCCTGTTGCTGGAGCACATACAGCGTCCACAGAGACACACAGGTGAGAGAAGCACATAAAGCACATATATTTTCCAGGAGAGACTATGGGTACGGTACGAAGTGATAAATATGTAATATTAAGTGTAATATTTTCACAGACACCAAAAAGGTATATCTTTCATACAGGTTATTTCATTTGAAAGTGCTCATAACTTTAAGTTAATAAAATTGGCTCTGAATAATCCAGCCGACTGAGAAATGAAAGCTATCACCGAAACAATCTCTTCAACTTATGTTTGAAGGTGATTGACAATGTTTCAACTCTTCAACTTAATTTGTTCACCAGCAAGAATTTTTATTGAACTATAATCCATAAACATTTTTGTGAACAAAAATGCGGTCTCCATGTGATCTCGAAGTTTGACCAATATACTTACAATTACAGTGATGGCAAGAAATCGAATAAACTAATTTAGATGGATGATTTATTTTGAGTATTGATAATGAATTGTTAATTATAGTAAACGATTTACAAGCTATCTTCAAACTTGAATTTTTTAAAATTCTAGCAGTTTAGATGCTTCACCAATGACTGATAGAGAAGTGAGCAATATGAGAATTTGAAGTGGATTATTCTCGAATGTTACTGGAGTTTTTCCCCAACACCAAATTTTAACACCCCGACACGTGTTTCGATCACCAAGTGATCATCTTCAAGAAGAAGTTTGATCTTCCTAAGTGAATAATAAACAATTTCGACCTTGAAGTAAAATGAGCAAAATGTCCACCTTCTGATAAAATACACGACTGTAATCGATTTGTCATTGATTGTGTGATACGTCCAATAATACCTGGAGTATTCCTTATGACATTTTTTTTTGTACCTTGAAGCTGTCTGACTTGTCCTTATGACATTGCAATTGTCACTTATTCGATTCCACAAGTCACTAATATCTAGAACAGGAGTTTTATAAACAAGAGCCTTCAGATGACTCCATGAATAGAAATCTAGAGGATTCATATTAGGTCTACGAGCTGACCAATTTTGAGGTCCTGCACGTCCTGAACAAGAACCTTTAGATGACCCCATGAATAGAAATCTAGAGGTCTACGAGCTGAACAATTTTGAGGTCCTGCACGTCCTGAACAAGAACCTTTGGATGACCCCATGAATATAAATCTACAGGTATCATATCAGGTCTGCGAGTTGACCAATTTTGAGGTCCTGCACGTCCTGAACAAGAACCTTCAGGTGACCCCATGAATAGAAATCTAGAGGATTCACATCAGGTCTACGAGCTGACCAACTTTGAGGTCCTGCACGTCCTGAACAAGAACCTTTAGATGACCCCATGAATAGAAATCTACAGGTATCATATCAGGTCTGCGAGTTGACCAATTTTGAGGTCCTGAACGTCCTGAACAAGAGCCCTCAGGTGACTTCATGAATAGAAATCTAGAGGATTCATATCAGGTCTACGAGCTGACCAATTTTGAGGTCTTGCATGTCCTATCTAACGATTGTGGTAGGTGATGTCGAGATGCTGACGAGCAGAAACACTAAAATGAGCTGGAACCCTGTCGTGCATATACCACATGTTGCCTCTCACAAGTACCGGCGCTAATTTGCTAAAAAATTATTATATTATATATAATCAAGCATTCTTTTATCATTTCTCCATCGGTGAATGGTTTGCCACGTTTTCCGATTTCAAGAGCCACACGAAAGCTGGCGCGAGTTGCAGACTCTTGTTCAGTATTCGCTTTGGTAAACAAAGATTGCTGCGATTTGAGTCCGCGATTCAAAGCTTCAAATTTTTCCTTCCACAAACTTCCTGTATATATGGAGTAACTTTGAAGATGCTTCGATTCATAGTGTCGTTTAATGTTATAGTCTTTGAGAACAGCTATGGTTTAATTACAAATTAAACATACCGCCTTATTACTGGACTCAATTACAAAATATTGAAAGTTCCATTTTTCTGGAACGTTCTGCATTCACTGTCGATTTTTCGCTTCTTTTTCATACTAACAAATCACACATGAAAACAATAAGTCAAACCAAATTACTTTTATTGACGGGTGTTACTTCATTTCACAATAGACCGTTTCGCTTCCTTCGCCTTTTCTACGCAGACTAACTCGCAGTTGCGCCGCTAGCCTTTTTATATGCAATTATTACTGCCATCTCGAGGTGATCGGAATACACTAGCTAGAACGAGAACTTTCTCGAACCAACGCGGTAATTCCAAATATTCAATTACGCCTAATGCCACCTAGCGGGTAGCTGAAAAAGACAGTACATAGTACCACTACTCGCTACTAGATGTCGTTTAGTTTTACAATACACAATAATAATTGAAATGCAAAAAAGCGTGAGTTTGCTTAGGTCACGCACTTTGCGACTATCCTAGTCTAGAAATATAGTTAAGGGCAGAAATTGGCTCTTGGAACAAACTGAAAAAATCATTATGGCCCGAAGGCTTCAAAGTTTGGAGACCATTGTATTAGACAATGGAAGTCCGAACTGATGAAATACACTACAAAACATTGTCAACCACCTTCAAATAAACACTATCACTATCAGCTGGTTTCCAAAGCAGGTGTTCATAATATGCAAAGTGGCTTCAATTTTCCTCGAAAACGGAGCTAGACATGAAGAAAACAAAAGCGAAGAAAGATTTGTATTTTCAATTGAATAAACTAAAAACTAAAAAATACAAGTCAGTGGTGTACTTTTTTTCCAATAACTTCTACTGAGACTCCACTGGTCCTAATAATTCCAATCTAGTTAGGACTCATTAAGCGCCTCACTACTTCAAATAACTGTAGCAAAATTTAACCAAATCGGAGTGAGGATATTTATGATAATATGTAAATACCGTTTTCTCAACTCCCTTCATAAAACAACCTAAAAAATCACCCTCTGAAGTTTCGTACCATAGTTAAAAAACACCCTGTATAATGTTTATCGTGTCAGATCAATAGTGTGGACGTCTATTATTCATGACACTGAACATTGATTTTATTCACTGTCATCAATACAATATTGAATTGAACAACATATGATTTTCATTTCGCAGCCTCATCCATTTTCCAGAATTGATCAAGCTCCAAACGGTTTCAAATAATGACACTTTTGATAATTTATCAGCAGAACTGCTCTATCAATCCATTATAATGGAGAATTATTTGCGTTGAAACATGATATAGCGCATCAACTCCAGTTTTCCATGGCCGTTAACAAGTTATTCAACTTTTCACAACAATCAATCAAGCACATAACTAGAACCCGTGCCCAATCTTTATAAGAGTTCCATTTTCAAACATGCGCGCAGAAGGGAGGATGTTCTGTCAACATCTCTTTTCTGTTTGCTGTAATCGTTCTGTTTCACCTCTCTCATGCACACCAATTACTTCTCTGATGTGATCTCAACAGGGAGCTTGTCGTCATTCCTGTAAAGTGGAAACTATATTTAGAATGAAATGTGGCGCAGTGTAAGGGGTTGATAATCTAATAGCCATTAGGAACAGTTGAATACTCACGAAGCAGTATGCGAAATTGGCGAAGAAGAGTCTCAGTTTCGTTTGAAATTGATTTTTTGTACAAAAAGCGTCTAATGTTAGATGATACACTTGTTAATAAAGTAATAGTGTCATATCGGTGGATTTAACTACTTTATTCTCCAATATTATTCATGTTAGTAACGGGTCTTTCATCAAGCGCTTTCTATTTATATTTGAATTAAACAAAGTGTGACTGAGATATCATTTAAATTTTTATTCGTTTAAAAGTCCTGTTGATGCCGTTATGTGTGGAATATAACATCGGTCAAATGGGTTATTTTTGTTTGAAGGTGAAGATTTTGAAAAAACACCAAGCATATTTTTCTCTAACACCGCACCATAGTAATTCCCCTCACTTGTATGGACTACCCAAAATCCACAAGAAGGATGTTCCGTTCAGACTGATCATCAGCTCCAGAGATTCAGCCATTCAGAACTTTTCCTTCCATCACTTTTACAATGGAGAAGGAAGTCCACAATGAATTGCCATTCTTAGACGTTTTGGTGAAGAGGACCGACACTAAATGGGAAACATCACATGGGACAGTATCTGAACCAGGAATCCAATCGACTGAGAGAGGAATCATCAAGACCTACTAGGGGCTCTGCAATACTCAGGAAGGTCTCGAAAAGGAACGAGGCATCATCAAAAATGACCTTCAGCGGAATGGTTACTCCAGATTGATGGTAGAACAGGCTTTAGCTAGAAGACAGCATGAGGATATGAAGGGTTAGGTCAAAGTACATCAGAACCTGCTCCAGATCTGAGAAGCAGCTTCACGAAAACCAGGCCACCAGGGAAAAGAGGACTGCGATTCCAAGAATTGCTTTTACTGGATATCCTGTGAGTGCGGCGAATCATACATCGGTGAAATTGAGAGGCCATTGAAAGATCGCATTGCCGAGCACAAGAAACACACACAGCGAGGAGAAACCAGCAAATCCGGAATAGCAGAGCATATTTGGACTCATCACCATAACATCAAGTAAGATCAAGCTGAAATCATCTACAAGGAGAAACACTGGTTTGGGAAAAAATTCAAAGAAGCCGCGTTTAGCTAAGCTAGCGTAGAGATACGTAACATATGGAAACCTCTAATCAAGCGAAACACGACCAACTCCCGCCAAACGGTCAGCTTCCGCTAAAGCCAATTAAGCGGAGAGAGGGAAGAGGGAAGAGGGAAGAGGGAAGAGGGAAGAGGGAAGAGGGAAGAGGGAAGAGGGAAGAGGAAAGAGGAAAATTTTCCACGTAGTGGAGTAACAGAGGCTCAATTGCTGCGAACGGCGGCGAATCGACATTTCACGGTCATCACGAACACTGGCGGATACAGCCGCAATATTTTCTTCAATCCTCACTCTAAATTTCGAGCCCAATTCACGTTATTGGACATTAAACTACCAACACGCATAGGTAGTCACAAACTTCCGAATAGCTTCCTTAGTAGACCGACGAAACTACCCTTTATTTTGAATGAGTTCACGATGCACTTTCTT